TGCTGTTTCAAAATTGTTCCTTATGAATCAGAAGACAATTGCCAAAAGTTCTTCGACTGAAAAACTAATGGTCACTCCAAAGCCAACCTAGCTTTATTCTTTAACCTTGCATGAAATTGTAGAAATGTACAGAAAATTTTCCAGGCAGAGATTTCAAATCAATTCGTCCATTTCATACAAGACATGGAGAATCATGATCCATGATGTACAGAGCCCACCTTGAGGTTCTTCAGACAAGACCATATAAGTGAGGCCTGTGACATGCATGTGGTCCTATATGATTTAGGCTGTTTAATGTTTCAGCCTTTTACTGATTCTTTCCTTATTTGGTAATCAAGCATGCAACAGTTTCATTCCTGGCTAGTATGAGTTCAATTTCCAAAGTTTTATTCCTTCCTTTTTTGCTATTTACATAAGACAACTCTTTCTCAAAAGAACATGACTTTGATGAAGACCCTGCAGGTTTTAATAGCCTTAGATCCATATTTGGAATCGTAATGATGAAATGTTTTAGTCCGTTGTTGAGAAGACAGTTCAATACCTCGGCATGAATTAGTAAGGCTGTGTCCTTTAACAGCAGCTAGACTGCTTTAACTTGATACTAAATAGTTTTCATCCCCTGATAAAGCTACTGTAACAATTTCCAAAGAAAGGAAAAAGAAGAAAAGATATTGTAACAATGGATAAAGTGGGGGAGCTAAATTGACACATGTTCATTCTAAATCCACATATTGTATAAGTTTTAAGAGTAAGAATATATGTAATTAATGCTATATACAATTCATTGACTCGCGTCTGAATATAACTTTTTTTTTTTACGCAGTTATCTAATATCAAATAAAGTTCTTTTAAAGTGATATTTGGATAAAATTAATGTGTTTATTTTTCAAAAGATGAAGAAAAACTAGTTACACAAAGAAATTAGAAATCAATGATTCTCGAATTACTCATCAGAGAAGTTATTTTAACCTCAAATACTAATAAGAATTGCTTAGTTTCAACTTTCAAGCCATCTTATGGTATGAGATGAAACTGCTTACTAAACAAAAGATGAAAGTTGAGGAGAAAACCCTTTTGTGTGAGTACCATAAATCAACAAAAGGGATTCAAAGAGAACAACCAAAGATTGCTACGAATCAAACAATGGACTCTATAGAAGGCTTAATTTCAAAATGTTTCAATTGTCATTTTAACTATTTTTTCCCCTTCACAGCTTCCTTGACCTTTTCCCATGCGCTTTTTTCCTTCTCATCTTCCGAAGCATCTACTGCCTTTTCAAGTGCCTTTTTGGCCATCTCAGAGATTACCTAAGCAACCACAACATTAAAAAGGTTAACACATGAAAAAATAAAAAAAAAATTCCAAGTTCCTAAAGCCATGCATTTACTACTTACTATTTTAGCAGTATTTTACTAAAGTAAACTAACGAATAGAGGGATAGAACATAAGACGAAAATTGAACAAAATGGCTAAGGAGTTTACTGTTCCAGCATTAGAAGAAACTGTTTCTTTAATAAATTGACCAGTTTGCCTGGTTTCTTTGATTCCTTCTGTGATGGCTTCTGCTGCTTCCTTTAGCTTTTGGCACGCCTCTTTATCCAAATATTGCTGTAATCCTCAATAAAAGTCAAACCAGTAATATCATACAATTAATTTTACTACAAAGTTTAACAAGCTTCTTGGAGACTGAGACAAGGCAAAGGGGGTTGTGTGTGTGTGTGCGCGCGTATCTATATATATATATAAGAAGGATATTATTCTCAAATTCTATCATTGTGTGCCTAAATCAGCTAGCTAACAATGATTACAAGAACACTGTCATTGCTATACCTCAATTAAAATGAGAAGTGGCTAAATTACCTATTTTTTGGATTCTGATTTTAGCTTTTTAACATCAGCGTTTACAAAAAATCTGAATCAATTGAGAACAGGCCCATGTCTTTTATTGTCAAATACAGACTTTAATTCGGTTCACAAATTTCAACCAAAATTCGAATTTTATAAACGAAAAGCACAGCAAGTATTCATTCAATTAAGAAAAAAAAAGAAGTATTCGTTCATTCATTTGATTTCTGTAAAATCAAAAAGAAAAAGCAAACGATAGCCATAACAGCTCCCAACTACAAACTGCCACTATGTCTATGTTATGCTTCATTCACGTAGCCAATATCCCACCCCACCCAAAGTAGAAAATGGCAATTGCTAAACCACTAATTTGCACCTTCATTCTTTCTGACTTCATTCAAATCAAACCAAAATGTAAATCCGAAAGATGGGATTTCACTCTCTTTCAGTTAAGACTGCGAAAAAAAATCTTGGAAGAAGAACACAGCATGAATAACACATCACAAGTACCAAATAAACAAAAGCACCTAAATATCTAGCACATCCCTATTGTCTTAAAAAGGCTGAGAATATGAATGAATCTATGGAACGTACTTTTTCAGTAGGCCCTGTGGAGCTGATAAAAGCCTTAAGAATCCACGTACTTCCGGGCTTTATTCCTCTTGAAGAAACGCATTTCGACATCTGGGCTGCTAGTCTTGAGGTTGCCATGTTTGCCTTAACAATTTTTGTACAGAAATCAGCTCTTTTAATTGAAGGTTTCTTTTTGACAAAAAAAAGAAAAATTGATTGAAGGTTTCTTAGTCTAATTCTAAACAAGGAATGAAACTGTCCTAGATCTTGATCTTTGTTGTTGGTTATGTAATCTAGCAAGAGAAGTGGCCACACGTCATCTGCTGAGTAATTTTTGCAAACCTGCAGAATTTTTGGCTGACTTGAAATTTTAAAGGTGTATAATTAAGGAAAACATTGATTAATTTTTAAAAAAATACATAGATAGATGGATTAGAAGAATACACGTTAGGCCAATCTTGGTTTGGATATTACTGAATTTGAGAATGAGAGCACTAAAAATTGTATGAGAATTCAATTTTTGTGTCAACCACGTTTATGTGTCAACCACCATATTTACAGGTGCTTTACTAGCCCAAATCTGTGCTCCGCGCTCAAACGATAAAAGAAATGATTAACATTTTGCTTGCTCCATTTCCAATTTTTTTTTTGGTTTCTTTCTCAAATAAAACAAGAGGGAAAAATTGCTAGTAGAGTCATCTACTTCTTATACTGAAAAACGAAATTGATTCTTAATTTAGTTATCAAAGGTGAGAATTTTCAAAATTTTAAAGTAACCAAAGCGATCAATTTGTAAAGATTTGCATCCATGATCTTTTTGTGCATAAACCACTCGGTTGTGGCAACTAATTGCAACTCTGGTTGATTTTCTGCTTTTGATAGCAATAGGTGATTTGATTCTAAGCTCTGATGTTTCAAAATTATCTCTTCTGACAGTGGCTGCTGAAAGTTGAACTAGAGATGATCAAGGGAGGACAGTTCAATCATGACCAATATGCATGCATGGGGCCTCATCTTTTCAGATGAATTCTCAATCTATTGAAGGGATCAAGATCAAGAAAATGTGATTTGGAAGCAAATGAAAGAGGATTGTATAGAGGTCTAAACCTTCAAGTCATCCTGCCAAGAGGAAGTGTATGGTTCCACAACATAAAAAGCAAGGTATATATGCTTAAACTAAAATCTTCAGTTTCTTTTTTTTTTTTTTTGTCAAAAAAAAGTGAAAACTGGCCCTACTTCAGGCCCCAACCCTTATTCGGGTTGTTGGGTTACCCCATTTTCGTTACCGGGACTCGAACCGGTGACCTACGGGATACTATCGCATGTGGTCACCGGCTGAGCTACCCAGGAAGGGCCTAAAATCTTCAGTTTCATTGCACCAGTTTTCACTTTTTCCTGTTGAGGGAGGTTTATACTTTTCCTTAATTCTTCTTTACTCCTCGGCCTTCAGTAGAAGGAAAGTGGAAGTTATTGAAATTTCCTCAATGAAGAGTTTCCTTGAAGCAATGTAGTAATCTATGAAAAATAAGGGGCTCATATATATATATATATATATATATATATATATATATATATATTTATTGGAAGCAATTATGGAGATGCACAAGGAAAGGATTTCTCATGGGAAAGCTTTTGATGGTGAAGAAGTCACTTTAATCTGCCAAATAGGTGCAAAAATAAAAGTGCAATTACGAAAAGAATGTTTTTATTTTTCTGATATAAGGTTTCACTTAATAGGGATAAAATAGGTGCACAAGTAAAAGTGTGAATGAAAATTGGAAATAGAGCAATAGTCAAGAATTTCTCCTTCCTTATTTAGTCTTTTTTTTTTCCCTAAATTTTTAGAAGAAAGTAGAAATGTATAGACCAAGTGGTTATCTTAAGAGAAACACAAAATTGGGGTAAATCAGTTTTGATAAAAAAAAAAAAAAACTTTAAGACTTTGCCCATCTATGCTTCCAAGCCCAAAAAAAAAAAAAAAAAACTACTTTTTCCAAAGAAAAGATTTCCTTAGTTAACATAACCATCATTATTATACTATTAAAGTTGATTCTAAGATAAAGGATATCTAGAAAATGCAAAAGCCCCTTTCAAGAAAAGAAAAAAAGAAATTGCAATAGGAACAGAACTCTTAGTCTTATTTAGAGTGAATAAGTTCATTCAGGCATTGATGAAAAAAGATATAAGCGCTTTCAAACAGAACACTCTATTCAGTACTTTAAGAGATCCAGGACTTGGATCTTATGTAACACTAGGTCTGATAATTCACTAAAGCACGTTAGGAAGATATTCTTGGCTTGATACTAAGAAAAAGAAGAAGATTGAAGGCTTATTATCTTTAACTAGGACATAATGGCCAAATGTTGATGACCGGGAAAAAAAAAACAGAATAAAGTGATTGTAGGAGCAGTTGGAAAAGCCAAAAGTTCATTGAAAGTAAAATGCCTTGCTGCTTCTGTAAGCAACGTATACAAAGATCTACATGAATATAGAAGAAACTACATATCACAGCACTTAGTAGTTGCAACCTGAATTGATAAACTACATATCTCATCAATAGTTGTACTTGTACCGTCCAAATTAATGGCCGAATTGGCAGAGCCTGTCGTGTCTTTTATCTTAGAAAGGCTCAGTAATCTATTGATTGAGGAAGGCAAGTTTCTACGTGGAGTGAGCGATCAAGCTGAGCAACTTCAGACAGAGTTGAAGCTGATGCAAGCCCTGTTAAAAGATGCTGATGCAAAGCAACATGATGATGCTGTAATTCGTGAGTGGATTTCACAAAGCAAAGATCTCGCATATGAAGCAGAAGACTTGATCGAAACATTTGCATTCAAAGTTGGATCCAGAAGGAGAGGTGGTGTTGTAAATGTCCTTAAACGATACACTTGCATCTTCAAAGAGTGCTACATGAGGCACAGAGTTGGAGTAGATATTCAGGGCCTCAACACTCGAGTCGCTAAACTCACTAAACGTTTTCGAGATTATGGGATAAGAACAATAATGGAGAAGGAAGGTCCAAGTTCGAGGCAACTACAATCGATCAGGAGGACTTATTCCCATGTTGAGGAGGACGATTTTGTTGGCTTGGAAAGCGATGTCAAAATGCTGGTTCAGAACCTGGTAAGTGAAAATGGGACAAGCCACTATAGAGTTGTTTCTCTTTGTGGGATGGGGGGTCTGGGGAAGACAACTATTGCCAGGAAAGTGTATAACCACCCAAATGTGAGGCGTCATTTTGATAGCTTTGCCTGGCTTTGCATATCGCAACAATGGCAAACAAAAGAGATTTTGCAAGGGATCTTGGTTAAACTTATTCCTGAAACGAAAGAGGAGATTGTGAGATCCTGGAATGATGACAAACTGGTCAGGCAACTTTACAACATCCAGCAGAATAAAAGATGCCTGATTGTTCTTGATGACATATGGTCCACTGATGCTTGGGAATGCATAAAAAATGCCTTCCCAACTAGAGAGAAGGGAAGCAAAATATTGGTTACCACTCGTAATCAAAATGTGGCGACACACATAGGTCCTAATGGTTTTCACCATGAGCCTCGACTTTTGTCCAATGATGAGAGCTGGGAACTGCTTCGAAAGAAAGCATTAAGAGAAAGATATAATCATGGTACGTGATTTTACAAACAAATTTTGATATGCCTTTTTATCTAGTTGTATAATAGCTTTTATTCATCATTTATCATTCCATAAGATGCATATGCTTTCTCTTGTATGCAATATATGCTTTTCAGTAGTTATCCTTTGATATTGTCTGTTAAAAACCAAAGAGAGAAGAACGAAAATTGATCTAGCGGCTTCTTTATCTTAGATATGACATTTTGAGATCCATTTAAACCTGTGAATGTTAGAGAAGATCTCAATAACGAAATGTAACAACTCCGCCTGAGGATTTTAGGGAACTGGTATCTGGGAATCTAATATTAAATTCAAGATATAGAAAAACATGAGGAACAAGGAAAACTTACAAACAAATGAAGAACATAAGAAAGGAGGAACACTTTCAAACAATGCTAGATGCCAAAAATATGCATGTTCAGTTCTCTACTTAAAGGAACTTAGGACGTAACTGGAACCTTGTTACGTATTCTTTCTTCTTTTTATTTATTTATTTTTTGAAATTAAATCTACTCGTGAAACTTCTTCCATTAAAACAAACTGAAAAACTCCTTGCAAGTTGCCTTATAGAGCACAAACATTTTGTGCCTGTGACGAATGCAGTAATAGTAGTCTATAAAACGGACAAACCTTTCTCATTTTGTTGCTTCATTTATAGGTCATGAAGATATCGTCAAATTAGAAGAGTTAGGGATGGAAATGGTTAAACATTGTGGCGGTCTTCCACTGGCTGTAGTTGTTCTTGGTGGAATTCTTTCAACAAAGCACCATTTTTCGGAGTGGGAATTTGTATACCAGCATATTAAGTTTTATCTTGGTAGGGGTGAGAGGATTGGGCAAAGAGAAGGAGAAATACAAAGAATATTAGCTTTGAGCTATTATGACTTGCCATACCAATTGAAGCCCTGTTTCCTTTACCTTGGCATATACCCTGAAGATCATGGCATCAGAACCGATAGTCTGTATCAGATATGGATGGCTGAGGGAATGGTATCCAAAGAAGATCAAATAGAAGGAGAATCAATGATGGACGTTGCAGAACGTTATTTAGGGGAATTTGTGAAACGGTGCATGGTCCAAGTGAAGTTAAAGGACGAACCTGGGTACAGAAAATTTAAGTCTTGTCGCCTTCATGACCTTATGAGAGATCTATGCTTGGCCAAGGGAAGAGATGAAAATTTTTTGAAGGTTAATGATTATCGTCACAATGATAATCTAGAGTTAATAGAATCAACATCTTCTGGAAGTAAATCTGATAGGCTTGTGATTTCTTTGAGCAGTGTTGAAATCCCGAAGTATGTTCCCCACAAGAAAAAAACAATCAGGCATGTCCGATCACTTACATTTTGCATAAGGGACCATCCTTACTATCATCGATTGGCAAGGACAAGGTTTAGTAACTTCAGGAAGTTAAGAGTATTGAATATTGAACGCCTACGTCCTTATAGTGTAGATAGCTGCAAGGATGTCACTAGCATGCTTTTTGATTTTTTCAAATTACCAATAGGGGGCCATATCCACTTGCGATACCTAAGTCTGAGAAATTCGGATGCTATTATTCTTCAATCATCTATAGGAAAATTGGACCACCTGGAAACCCTTGATCTCCATGGTTTTCACGTATTTTGGATTGCCAATGTTCTGTGGAAGTTGAGACGACTAAGACATCTATATCTTCCCAATCCTGCAGAATCGGCGTTTCTAAATCGCAAGTGGAAGTTACGTTTGGCGGGTTTGATTAAACTGGAGATATTGGAGAACTTTAGTGCATCTAATTGTGATGTTAGAGACTTGCAACAATTAACTAGTCTTCAGGTGCTAAAAGCAATTGTTAATGACGAGAATGATGGTGAAGAAATCATGAAGTGTATCTCAAGTTTACAGCACTTGAAGGAGGCAACCGTCATATTTATCCTGCATCGTTCTCTCACCCCAGAAAAAAGCTCAAATCTTTTAGAAAAGTTGTTTGAAAGCAATCTCCATCATCTGACTCTTCATGGTTGCAGAGGCGTCTTGCCTGATTACAAACTCCACTTCTTTAAAAACCTCAATGAACTGTTGCTTCGTCGCTCAAGTATCCAAAGAGACCCAATGGCAACACTAGAAAAGCTACCCAATTTGCAAAAGCTCTGGCTGATTGATGTATCCTTCGGTACAGAGATGGCTTGTCATTCGTTGGGATTTCCTCGACTGAGGTTTCTTGGGCTAGATGTTATGCACAGGTTAGAAGATTGGAGGGTGGAGGAAGGTGCCATGCCGAACCTTTCTCATCTTAGAATCAGAAAATGCAGGGCGTTGAAAATGATTCCTGATGGTCTGAAGTTTATTTCAACATTGAAAGAAATTGTAATTCAGGGAATGCGAGACACATTCAACAACAGGGTTCGAGTTATAGATGGTCAAGAAGGAGGGGATTTCTACAAAGTATGCCATGTGCCGTCCATTTTGATAAGGTGATTCAGCACGGCTAAATTGATCGTTTGTTTCACTTAACGGGCAATTATGCAATCAGGCACCTTACATTCTTTTAACAAAGAAACTTCTCCTTTTTTCAAGTCTCCCTCAAATTTTCCCTTTGATTTTGACGTGGTTCCACCACTGTTCTTGCTTTCATTCTTACACTGCATTTTGCTATCAATAAGTAACTTGATTCTTTCTGACTGCATTTGGATTGAAGGGTTTGACGAGATATTTGAAATTCTCTCAAATCCCTCTGAGTTGAGTGGATGACTTAGCAGCTATTTAAATTTATAAACCTCCAATTATTTCTGTGTTTTTGGTTCTTTCATCATTAATCAGCTTAATAGAAAATTGATTCGTGGGCATTGCGAAAGTCTATGCTTTCCTCTTTTCTAGCATATGTTTAACGCTGCCAATGGAACTGATACTCATATTTCTTTTGGTAAACTTACTAGCTATTGTGTTTTTTTTTTTTCATTGACATTTCTTTTTTTGCAGAAGGGGAAAATGAAATCAAGTGTGTGAATAAAGTTGGATGTTTTCTGCAGCATTTCTTTTCAGTGTTACTAGCACCAATGGGCCATTTCCAGAGATTGACTGGCTGTGTAGCTCTGCAATATTGCTCCAGCATTCTTGAATTCTTTTTCTCAAAATACAGTGACCAATTTTCGTTTCCTTTGTTTTTCTCTGTCATTCCCTCAAATTCTTCATTTACAAGTGACAATCTCCACCAGTTTGCTAATTTCTGAGATCCATCACACTTTCTTGCAAGTTGCTGATAACTTCTTAAAGGACAACAAAATAGTCATTTATTTTGAGCCCTCACCAGTGAAATTACTACTTTGGTTGAATCATGCTAAGCTGTCTGAGCATTATTATTCTTCTGAAAAACATACGAGACCTTCAAATCCGTGCTATTTCTTCAAGCCAATCTTAGAGGATCGCAGCAAAATGTGGAAGTAATCCAGATTGCAAGAATTTCGTGGGAAAGCTTTTTGATCCATCCTCCCGTGTCTTTCTCTCAAATGCTGTATACTTTTGATACACATTATATAGTTTTCTTTCAGAGCATGATCTTTAATAGTCTCAAGAATTTACAGAGTTTACTTAAAAGGGCCATAAGGGGGAAATTAAAGAAGTAAAGGAATAAAATCCATCAAAGGATTGGAATAGCTAAATTCAAAAGCAAAGTCATTTGCAGATATCATACTGAGAATCATGTATTTTTGACATCCATGCATGTAGAACTTCTTGTGACCTCCATTAGGCCACTTAAAATCACGGTAGTTCAAATTCAAACAACAACAATCACGCCTTCTTCAGTTCGAAAAGATGAAGCTCTATCTGTGCATTTACCACGCCTGCAAGTTTGCTCTCAAGACTCCAGTCCTTTAGACTTGGAAGGTTCGTTCCAAATCACGCCATTGCCATTGAAATTGAACTCAACAGCAAAATTTTTTCAATACATATGTAGAATTTCTTGAGACCTCTCATTAGGCCTCTAAAGTCGTGGTATTTTAAACAGCAGCAATCACGTCTTCTCCAACTTTAAAAGGTGATAATTAACCACGCCTTCCTCCGATGGGTTACGATCTTTCCTATCTCGGTTCACGCCTTCAGTCCTTTTAATGGAGCAAGGGCAATTTCTCATATAGTATTCTTTTTCAAAAATCAAAGCCTTGGCAAATGGAATTGACTCAAATGATCAAAATTCAAGATGGTATTGCCCAATCCTACATTCTAGGGGCTTGCTAAAGGCGGATTAACCTATACCACCTCCCCTTTCATTAATTAAAGCCCATCTATATACAATTACGCGTGTTATACTCTTCATAATAAATCTGTTAATTGTTTGAGCTGCCCCAGAATACAGTTGTGAAGCATGCAGGGGCCAAGACTTAAATTCTTCGATAGTTTTCGAGTCAATGTATACAGTTGCAGACTACTTTTGTAGTCTTTACTCTTCATATCTACTTTTAGTTTTTTTTTCTTTTCTTCTCCCTTCTTCAATCTTCTTCATAGTCAATTCATAGACCTGATAATGATGAAGGATAGATGATACAGAGCTTAGGCATCTTCGGTTCCCACTTCCCAATGCTCAATTAATATGTTGTATAAGTCAAAAATTGAAAAGGGCCATCCAAATTGAGGTGTACTATAATCTGAACACAGGTACCAATGAGGAAACAAACATCTGGAAACAACATATGACTCTCAAAATCTGTTTGTATATCATCTAAGATTTTTTTTAATTTCTGTTCTTTTTTGGGGTTTGTAACATGAGTTTTAGACTCGTCACCGCTATTAAACTTTTTTCTCCAGATGTTGAATATTTGTACACATAGATACATTTACATCATACGAAATATTGATTCTAGACATTGTTCACGTTTACATAAAGTAATATTTTCACATAATATTCACATAAACTTTACATAAAGTTTACATCATACGTTTACTTCTAAAGCTACATAATATTCACAACTTTTAGCTTTAGAAGTGATTTAAAATCTTATCTTTATGTCCATTTAACCTTAAATGCCCAAAACTACAGTACATGACCTAGAAAAATCCAAGACACAAGAAATCTGGCTGTAGTAGCATCTGTGTGTGTGTGTGTGTGTGATGAATGCGTGATAAACATTACTACTGCGTAGTGCGTACTAGGCAATTGTGGTTTGGCTTTAGTGTTTACTGGAGGGGTTGACATGTCTAACTAAATGCTCTCTTCTTTCGATTCACCTAACTCTGCCCCCTTATAGATATACCGCTACTCCTCTCGAGATTCTGCATGCAAATTTTAATGCAACCCTCATTTATTATTCTCTTTAAATATCCCCTATCTAACCGTATTCCTTTAATTTTGTTTTCTTTTTATTTTTTACACCTTAGCTAATTGGATTGCGTTTCTCAATCTCTCCAAATATAAATAGGCCTTCTTGTCCACATTGACAAACACCCCACTTCCTGATTATAACATCCCTTTATTTTCTGCTTTTTTCTGTTAGGTTTTGTGTGAGGGAGAGAGGGAGGAAAAGGGCTAGTCATGGCTAGGTTGATGGTGTACGTGATGGTTGTACTTGCTGCAGTAATATTTGTGCATGCAGCAGCTGCAAGAAACATTCCTAGTACTCCTATCGCTACAACAGCGAAGCCTAACGAAACTCAAACTGAAAATACACTGAATGTGAGAACTGCTGCAGCTCCATCTCCAAGTGGTGCTGGCGTTAAGGACAAGAAGAACTTCATCACCTATGGTGGCATTGGGGGATGGGCTGGAGTTGGATATGCTGGCTTGATTCCAACACTTGGTGGCATTGGTGGAGTTGGTGGTGGGGTTGGTGGAGCTGGTGGTGGGGTTGGGGGACTTGGTGGTGTTGGGGGACTTGGCGGCCTCGGCGGAGTTGGTGGCCTAGGTGGCGTTGGTGGTGGAGGCGGTGCAGGTGGTGTTGGCGGTGTTGGTGGAGTAGGCGGTGCAGGAGGAGTGGGAGGAGTCGGAGTTGGTGGTGGCATTGGAGGTGGTAAAATTATTCCCTAAATGAGATGAGTCTAGGTTGCTATTTTACTTCTGATCTTGCAATGTTAGGGCTTTCTTTGAGTTCAACAAGTACTGTTTTAGTGTTTCTTGGATGTCATTTGTAACATGCAATCTGCATAGGCTGTCTTTCTCAGCTTGTTTTGAAGTCATTGTAATCCTCTTGAATTTCCTAATTTAGTGAACTTGTTTAAGTCCAGGTTTTCTGTTCTATTCTTTTTGAACTGTCCTTACCATCCGACGCCTACAGTACTATCTTACAGCAGAAAGGCTATTTCTTGATCAACACTTTGTTTGAGAAAGTGAAGTTCTAATAGTGGAAACTTCAACACAATGATTAACGAAGCATGGCATTTTGATTCGTAGAACAAATTTAGTACATAAAAAACACAATAGCATATATTTTACATGGAGAATTGTTTCTTTTATTCTTTTAAACGATCATAGATTAATATATGATAGTCAAAATGTTTCTGAAAAGCATGCTTCTAACATTAGCGTCAATGATTCAATTCCTCCTGAAGGCAAGCATAAGGAACTTTTCATGAATCAAACTCTCCTCGGTCAGTTCTTTGTTTTCATTCCAATGTTTTTATAGGTAGTGAAAATTTTGCTATCTTATGTGTCCTACGGAATTGGACATGCGAAATTCGTTATATGGAAGATTAGAGAGGAAATTGCTAAGGACTAAGTGACAATACTACATGTCTCCTAGATTCAAGACTTTATAAACATTTCCATACCAGATGCTCTTGAATAATGAAACCAGAGGAGATATCCGACAGCAAATACAGGGATCACACATTGCATATAGATATGCTTTAAATGTAATGGCAAGTTAATTTGGCACAAAGGCATCACAAGTAAAGTTGCGGATGACTTAAATTCACTTTCATGAGAATCACGTTATGCCATCATGTACTAAATTCGTTAGATATTCTGAAATAGGAGTACAAAATCATCTTTTTGCAGATAATGCAGAATGAATATAAATATATAGATGTGTGCGCGCGCGCGAGCGCATACATGCGTATTTACAATTCTAGTAATTGTATTTGTATATGCGAGCTACAGTGTTTGATGTTTTCCATCAAAGCCTTTACAAGTTGAAGTGGTTTGTGCTGTTCTAAAGAAAGTCTTATTGTATTTCTTCAAGTTTGACATGCTTTAATTCTTAATCCTCTAACATGTTGATCATGGCTACATTTTAAGCCGCTTAAGATTTTACTTTGTAACAAGGTCTTGCTCGATAATAAAGGGCTCAACTTTCTAGTCTCCTTCAAGACTCATCATACCAAATTGATTATGATGTTGTAGTTTATCTTATAACTCTACTTACTCTAGATACTACAAATCAAATTGAATGTATATCATCAAATTCATTGTAAAAATGCGAAATTTCTTTAACTTTTGATAGTCGATCACTTATGAGCATCATAAAGCAGAAACAGTACATTAAGCCATTTCCCAGAGTCATAAAACACTAACAACAAGTGATGTGAGACGCGGAAGCAAAGATTGGATCTTAGAGTACACGTTGCGAATTGATGGAGTTGAATCCAACTTGGACCACTCAAGAACGAATTCAACGGTGGAGGACACCACAATCAAGTGTGATCGCTTGATTGATAAGTCAATAAACAACTTAGGAGCCACGCTAGGATGTTCAACTTAGCTTTCACAAGTTAAAGGAATTTGCCTTAATGCAAGACGAAATTCTGAAGGTTTGTTAATAATATCGCCAAAACTGTATGTAAAACATGACTTAAGGCTACCCCCGTACAGCTCAGCGTAAGCAATACTTTGGTAGTCTCGCCAGGATCTTCAAACTCAATCCCTTCAATGGGCGGTTTCTCTTGGGTTTGGATGGCATAAACCAGGGCTTGAAGCGACTCATTGAATCTCTTGGATCGTGCTCGTGTCACTGGCCCTTGGGGCACCTTTACAGGGTCTATTTGAACACCATGGGTCTCGTCCGCATCAACAAGTAACAAAACAGACAAGTAAGTGAAAACAGAAAAGGAAAAAAAGAGATAGAGAAAGAAGAAAAAAAGGAGAAAAAGAGAAGACACAATTTAGTTGGGTGGTTTTCCAATGCAAACCAAATTACAAGGGCATATATGAAATTTTGTTCAAGTGTAAAATTTTCCCTCTACTACTTTTCTTAAAAGGCGGGAAAACAAAGAGAGAAACCAAAAATACACGTAGCTGGTGCGTGTTTCGGGTGTTTGTTCTAGAGAGAGAGACAAAAATGAAGGAATCGAGCTCAACCAGAGATCTACAGAGCTTGCTCGACGCCATCAAAGCTTCTGATGTAAGCTTTCTGTTTCGATTTTTGAATCGGTAAAATAAGTCTTGCAGATTTCATTTCGACTCTAGAATTTATTCTTTTGTGCATTTCGTTTCGTTCAATTTTTACGAACTTCCGATTTAAATTCTGTTTTCTCTCCTAATTAAAGTTTTAATGAAGTTAAGCTACTAAATTTGTTGAATTTCTTGTTTGATTTCTCTAAGTTCCCGTTTATTAGTGTTAGATTACGGTTATATATGCATTATTAGG